TGCTTAATCACAGAATCCTGAAAAAAAAGTATCACAGATTCCAGAAAAGTATTAAAGGGGTCATATGATGCTGCTAAAAAGAACATTATTTAGTGTATTTGGTGTAATGAAATGTGTTTATGTGGTTTAAGGTACAAAAAACACATTATTTTCCACATACTGTACATTATTGTTTCTCCTCTATGCCCCGCCTTTCTGAAACGCGTCGATTTTTACAAAGCTCATCAGTCTGAAAATTTAGTCTTTGCAACTTTACAGATCTTCTTTATGCACCAAGAGCTTGTAACACTCCAAAGAGAAAGGAAAAATTGAAATCGCATCACAACTGTTTTCAACATTGATAATAATAAGCTATGTTACTTGAGCACCAAATTAAAATAATTTGTGAAGGATCATGTGACACTGGAAATTCAGCTTTTCCATCACAGGAATAAATTACATTTTAAAATATAAAAAGTTATTTTTAAATTGCAATAATAATTCACGCATTACTGTTTTACTGTATTTGTTATCAAATAAATGTAATCTTGGTGAGCATAAGAAAAACATTAATAGATCTTACTGACACCAAATTGTTGAATAGTAGTGTAAATGTTAAACCGTTCTTTAATTTTGGAATTGCATGTTATAAATCTGCTCCTCGTTTTTTTCTTTCTCTCTTCTTAGAGCTGGTTATATCTTAAAGGCTCCTACATGAAATGCAACAGGAATATGGAGGTAGCGTTCATGGTTTGCGCCATCAATCCGTCTCTAGATCTGCACACTGACAGCACAGAGTTACTCCAGCTCCAGCAAGTATGTCTTCAAATTAAATTTGTTTTAAACTTTCACCACAGCATCCTCTGTTTCCTGCATTATATTATATTATATTTCATCTCCGTGTTATGTACTGTTAACTGTAATTACGTTGGCATATACATTATGTAAACATGCATATTTATCTTTCTATTGTCATTCAGATCATTTTTAATGCATTCTTTTTTTTCTTGCAGAGGCTGTTATGGCTGCTATATGATCGAGGGGATTTGGAGAGGTGTGACACATTTCTAATAAATCAGACAAATACAGAGCATGGATGTAACCCATGTGATCTGATTACTGTATATAACTCTTTCTGAATGTTTGTTCTCTTGTATTGGGCGTGTTGAAGGTATCCTATGGCAATGGGCACTTTGGCCGACCTTGAAGATCAGGAACCAATGACTGGCAAGGAAAGCCCTCTCTCCATTCACCTAAAGGTATATGATTTTAGCTATATCAGAGATATTTACAAGGTTGACATTATTAAAGATCACTAATCTGTAATTTTTTTTATTTTTTATTCCAGGCTGTCGAGTCGGCTAAAAAATATTACAACAACGAGCACATATACCCTTTCATGTATCTAGCAGGGTATTATTATAGGCACAAAAATGTCCAAGAGGCTTTGGGTTCCTGGTCAGAGGCTGCTTCAGTAATGCAAGAGTAAGTCAAGCACCATAGAAATCTGAACATTAAAGGGGTCATATGATGCGATTTCAATTTTTCCTTTCTCTTTGGAGTGTATGCTGGTAGCTGAGGAAATCAACTTCGTGCTATCGATCACCGGATCGGCTTTCACCGTGGTTTCACATGTGGTTGCAGCAGGCATCACAATATGGTAAGGGACGTAACATTTCCGTCACACGCTTGAGGAATTCGGCCAATCACAACGCACTGGATAGCTGGCCAATCAGA